GGTGCACTCTAGCCTTTGCGCAACCAAGCGTGGACTGCAAGGCAGCAGCGATATTACCGATGAGCATTTGGCCTGTATTTGGTTCGGTGGCCTCTTCTGGAATCTTGCCGAACAATAGATTTCGAAATGGGGTGATGGCCGTGTTTGGTGGCGGGGCACAATCACCACGTCACAGCGCTGTCCACATATATGTGTGGTGTTTTAAGCGGAGTACGCTCACCAAGACGTTAACCCACCACATCCTCGAGCGCTACCGCTGATCGTCCGCGACCGCTTATTCGGACAGTCGAAGCCCACCTTGTTCACGGTTAGCCGTGAGATGATGGCAGTTCCCCTATTCGCGATCTGGGGACGTGCTCAGTTGCATCCAGCTCTGCTCTCCAGAGCATACAGATCCGGGCCCCAAAGTCACCTGTTTTAGGGCTATTTCAAGTTTCAAAATGAGGTTCGTACATAATTATCAGTAGAGAAAGTACCATATCGTACAGTAGTGAGTACCTCAATGTCACAAATGGTAACGATAATATTATTAATAAATTATACATGTACTATTCGGTACTAAGAATTTCTCCATAGTCATGGAATTCATTGAGCGGGACCTCTTAGGAGGAGTCTCAATTAGTCGTAAATATTTGATACAAATCACTAAATCTTCAAAGGAATTGGCAAAATCTACCTTGTGTTATCAGTCACTAATTTGTGTTGCATACAATATGCACGCTCTGCGCCTGCCTCGCCTGATTCCTTTATCTCTACTTTAAAACGTTTATCACCTTACCTATGGTGCACATAAACTTAACCAAAGAGCTTGCTCCATCTGATAACCTAATAAATAACAGAAGTGCATTTCAGCTTGACCACAGTAACATATCCAAATTGGACATTCTGAAGACAACAATACCTCCATATTCTATTTATTCTTGTTTGTTAAACACAAACCGACTGGGGAATACCTGATTGGTCACTGTGGTGTAGACTGATTAAATAATGAATACAACTAATACAGTGAACTATTCTATTTGCGCGGATTAATTTGTAAATGTTTCTTCACCAATGCACAAACCTGTTTCGAAGTTCCTAATTTTGGGATTTGCTATTGGTCGGTGTATATGTTTCCGTCGTGTATCAACATTAAGTGTTCTCTAGTGAAATTTCTGCTTATCTTTCTTTCTCACCGCGATAGGTTTCACTAATGGTAGGCGAAGGTAATTATGTAGTATACTTATATCACTTCAAAAGGGAATGGATGTCAAAGTAGATTGCATTTTGTTGTTGGATTGTTCTCTGGACTGCAACTGAAGCAAATGTTTTTCATTAGATCTACTTGATGAAGTCAGAAAAATACATTAAAGACACCCAGTAATGTACCGCAGTTTAAAAGACCACCAATATCTCAAACTGCAGGCTAATTCCGATGATTGCAGAAATCTGTCTGCAGATTACACGTAATCACAAAACATAACCAACAGTGAACTTTCGTCTATTTCCGTCTAAATCTGCATGGTTTCTTTAAAATGTGTGCCGATTGCATATGCGGGTCATAGCTTCAGTAATCACAAAATTCCAATCCTCCACCATTCAATTTGACATATTTTATTTCTAACTTCTTCCTACGCTTGAAGTGCACACCGGAACCAAGTCACTCGATTTGGTTGTATCGAACAACTACATTTTATTTGCTGTGATTTCAAGGTACCAGCGAACAGGTCTCCTTTATCTGAGAAATGGAAACGAGAGTAGGTTGTGACTGGAATGTTTATTCAGCATCTTCAATGTGGTCATTTGACGAATCTTCGATTATTTCAGAGTGATTACTTCGTATGAATCGATTACCATCTTAGTTGTGGTGTGATTATTGCTGACAGAAATAAATAACACACTAAAACTCATTGAACTGATTTTGTACTCCCCATTTATTATGCTCAATTACGTGTTGATATTCTATTAACCGTTTTAATACTCTCAGTACGACAGATTTTACTCGGATTGTATCCTCGCTTCGTCTTAACGACGAATGGGAAGTAAATTTCACATGTGCTGTCCAATCAAATTCCATTTTGGTGTCCACAGAAATGTCCACTGAATTACAAGGTACGGAAATATCGGTCTTATCCAATGACTATAACCTGAGAGGTTTCAACTTCAAATACTTTGCTTCTCGCTCTACCTGACAGCATTGCAGTGTGTTTTGCAGAACGACTAAAGTTATTTCAATCATCAAAACTAATAGAATATTAGTTCTTTGACTTCCAACATTCATTGTCCACGATCACTTTTTGATTCTAACGATGATAAAAATGTATGTTTGTAATGGAAAACGAATTAGCAAATGATGTTTTCCTTCTAACTGAATGCGAAGACCAAATCTCCATACGTTTAATACTTGGGACACTGTACCCTGTTGTTAAACTAATTGTTTTCAGAGTGGATTAATTATACATCCGTTTTGATGATGGATAGATGGTTTATTACTGTTCGTCAATTGGGGATTATATTTCAGGAGAAGACTGAAGACTGAGAAGAAAAAAAAGCTATCATTGGCAATGGGCTTAATACTATAGCAATGCCCTCACTCTGTGTAAGATGACTGAACTCCAAAGTGGGATTCCAACATCATACACCAGTTCCGATGACGAATTCGACGGGCTAGTAATTTTTTCTTGTGCACCTCAGATTTAGAAAGCTACATCTCCCACCTTACTTATAGAAAATTTCCTCATTTTATACGCAAAGTAAACCGAAACCCTTTTGAACTACATTGAAATCCGACTCTAAGATGTGAGGCTTTTTATATATTTGTTTCAGTTTCTTCAGCTTTAAACTTAATTTACATTTTACGAGTGAAAGACAAAGTTGGAACGGGATAACTCCTTACTAAAATGTTTAAATTTGGTATTGTAGAATAAGGCGTTTCATACTGACTTGGAGTAAGAAAACATTCATTCCAATAATTAGAGAAATTTGACACAGGCTGGTTCTATGCTGCTAAACCAAACAATAATAGCAAAGCAAGATGAACCTCCCATATGTTTACAACCGAAAAAAACGAAGGAAAAATTATATCAGTGACATTTTGTTATTACTCCCAAATATCTCACTTTGAAAGTTTTGCACACAGATGACTTGTTTTCAGTGTGATTGAAATCGGTTCAGTTAAAGCGAATGTAGCACACTAAGCGAAGGACGGCACTTGTCTACTTTTTTAATTATTAGCAACGTATTCCCTTTGATAGGTTTTGATGTTCTTCACTCAGTTAGACCTCGAAGTATATCGGCTTGTCAAAAAGATTTCCGTAATAATTTCATTTCTCCTGCCAACACGATAGCCTCCGTTTACCATCAATGACTTGACAATGTGCAACACACTGTGGAACTACTCGATGGTCTGCTTTAGCATTCCGCCCACAAAATCAAAATGTTTGGTCAAATACATCATTCGATTTAGGTGGTTTACACTCCATTCTTAAGGGATTCGGCTTTACTGGTATTCAGCTCAAACCATATGATTTCGTTAACACTAACTGAGATAGCATCGTCAGAGCATGAAAATTAGAAGTCCTTTTTCATGGATACGCTTTGCAGCTGTCGGCATAGAAAACATCAACAAGTGGAACATTTCTTAAATTCGCCACCACAGTCAACACCCGCTTCAGGTCAGATAGCGCCTGTGCATAATAGCACATACCAATGTGATACACATAGTACATCTGAACCGCGATTCTCATAGAAGACTCTAGGCAGTTGTTACAGATATTGGGGTTCGTTTCCGCCAACCTAAGTGAAATAGAAATAATCGCAAGGGTTGACAATGGTTTGAAAGATTCCAATAGGTGAACACTGTTAAGTGGTTTATGTCTATTGTGTGTTTCCTTGTTATAAAAATTTATCCTTACTGTTTAGTGTGAATTGTATATTACACATCGGTTTACAATTACCTATTCGATGGACAACCTTTGAACGACTTTTGACTAGCTGCCTCATAGTCATCCATTCAATCACACAATTTGAAAGCATTATAGTTTGAGCTAAGTTTTTGTTATTGGATATCACACGCGACTATATTCCAATGGATTGAAGTACGAATCAGATGTGATAACCTTGTGTTTTATTGGATGAATTTCCCCACAGAGGAAGCTTGTGGTATCATGTGAATTCAAACGTACCGGACAATTCGTAGGCAGCGTTCTCACTAAACCGATCAGATATGCAGTTGGCAACTTGCTAAAGTCAGCAAAGTATATCCCGTGAATAATTCACTGTTCCGTTTTCCTGCTTGCGATTTTAACCTTGACGTTGAAATCTGAAAACAATCCATAGCTACTATTATGTACCTTGTCGATTAGCAGTGAAGGAAATGTGCATGTAGTGTCATTCATAATGAAGTGGGTATACTGCTTCCATTGCGCAACTGAAATTTTGAAACGCTGGATTCACGTGAATTGTATCTTCGCTTATTGGATGAGAACTTTGCAGAAACGCCCACTTATTAATAGGATATAAATACGATAGATTTCGTACAGTATGGATCATGAAAAACATGTTGCAAATTTCGATAGTATTTATTGCAGTTGTCAGCATTTTTGCGAATGCACGTGAGTCCCATATAATTCACCAGCATTATATTGCTTAATCAAAATTGTTGTAGAACATGATGATAAACTCTGTGGTCCGGCTAATCACGAAGCCACTAAAACCGAGCAAGAATTAATCTTACCTAAAACAAGAAATGCAGCATGCAAATGGAATATCAGCACAACCACGCAGAGAACGATTTTAGTGACTCGACCCGCAAGCTTGAAACAGATTGATGTCGATGTAATGCGAATCAAATTAGACTTCATGTTTTTTCTAGAACGTTGAAGAAACAAATTGTATTACACTGACCGGCCCAGATGACCTCATTCTTGATGTGTTGTGCGATGACGTAAAGGACAAATCAGTTCCGTCTAAAAACAATATTATAATTACTTCCAAAGCAAAGAGTGCAGGAGAACTCAAAGATGTCACGCTCAAGTATCGGTTGGGTGAGTTATGCATGTATTATGAAAACAAAATTGAAAACCATTATTTTGATGTGAGGGATATGGAATATAATTTATATCCTATCCTGAATATGCTTTTCAGTGAATGACAGGCTGTGTGCAACAGTAGAAAAAGACCCAAATGAAAGTTTACAATTCTTCGGGATAGTGCAGGAAGGTGCACAAATTGTCGAGGGAACGATCTGCTTTTGGGACTTGAAAGGCACTGAAGGAAAAAAAATCCAAGTCTCGTTGGAAACAACATCGGTGCGTTCCAGCTGAATTATAAATTGATCTACCTTTCTGAAAATCTACTGAAATGCACACATTATATCTAATTATAGGAGGAATTATTTCAAGAACGCANAACGCATTTCCCAAGTTCAATTGGGACTAAGAATTCCACCTCCAGTGATCATTATCACCGGAATGATTTGTAATGCCTTTCATGACTTTTGGACGATTTGCGATTTTTTGTACTTTGAACCTACATCAATATCAGTTGAATGTCAATAAAACCACTAAACTGTAGTTGTTTTTCCTACATTGATGAACGTTGCTTGATGTATTCCAATAAACGCTCGAAAAGGGTTACAGCACCTTACACCTGAGGCATATTTGTACGGAATCGCTAAACAGAAAACAATGCTGAACAAGAAATGCTAATGCTCCGTTTTTCTGCTTTTCATTCGTCAAAACACCTTATTCAATGGCTTCAATATACATCGTGATGACTTTGCACTCTTATTCTTGTAATTGACAGGCTGAAGCCAAGGATCAGTGCATCTCAGTTTCTAACGCAGACTCGTCGGCAGCACAAAGGATTTGTGGCAAAGAAGGGGACAACATGTTCACCGGAGGTGTCGGCAAAGACGTCACTATCGAGTTTTTTGGTCCAACAGAAGATAAACTAATGCCGAATTTCAAAGTGTATTATCAACTCAGTGAGTCCCGTCCATGCCTGAACATAACCGAGAGTTATTCTGATAACACTGAAAACCATTTGCCTTTGGATGTGCGCCAATGCATCAATATATTGATGACTGCTGCAATGACACTCCTATTATTTACCATCTTGAAATAGAGACAGTATGCAGAGTATAGTATAGTATAGTAGAAGTAATTTATGAAGCGTCAACATGTTGTCAAACCTAGTGCTCTGGAGTGCATAATATTATTACGAACTTTAGGTTAAAAACCAATTTGTTTATTGAATGATTGGATTGGATCTTGCAGAATGGTCTCCCAAAATGTTGGGTTTATTTATCAATCAGTGATCAGCAATGCGATTTGGTTTTAAAATGATCAAACTAATCCCGATGCGAAGCCGTGTCAGCTCAAACTGGGTATCAACACAGACAAATAGCGCTCTTGGTTCTACACCTTCTGAACGTTGAAAATGCGCAAGTGATTGAGTTCATTAGGTTCACCACCTGTCGACACCACATGGTAGTATTGTTCAATATAAAATCCATTTAGAAACGCTATTTATTTGATTTATAGAGGATGAGAATACGGATACAGTGAATCCTGCTGAATGTAATGTGATTCCGGGGCCACCAACAAACCAGGATCAATCATTCACGGTAGCTAAATCCGGAGACACCATTCCAGCTGACCTGACCTGTACCTGGAACATTGCAACGAGTGGTGGGAAAAATATACGCGTCGGCTTGAATGTGGACGGAGTAAGTGCTGTTTCACTTTTTGCGAATCTAAGCGCAATCTCCAAGCCCGATTGTAAAAATCCGTTTTACGTCAATGAAAAGGCGGTAGAAATACCACACGGCACTACTCCTGTTTGAGTTCCAATCCCAACTGACTGGTGTTTCTGAGGTGCACGTCATTTAAACGTGAATTCAAACGTGTTCACTTCATTTTGTATTGCCAAATATTAGACGGTGTTGGCGTTATCATTTAAGTGGAGAGTTATAGTTGATAAACCGTTGGCAGGATTCTCACCTGTAGGCATAATAAAACATTTGCTTCTCAAATTGATCAGTGAAATACTCAAACGATTTATTGTAAAACACTACTGACAGTTAAACATAAACAAGAAGTATTGGTGCGTTCCCGAGGAATCTGTTGGCTCAACTGATCCACTGAGTAAAGTTGAGTCGGTGTAACTGCAAGAGGGAATAGAGGTCCGCATTATTTTCGTAGCCGTTATCAAATGGGATGTTTCAGATGCAACTACAATAAGGAAGTCTTGCCATTTATTTTGCGTTTATTCACTTTCAACGTAGACGAAAACGGAGAAGCAGTGTGTCGCGGTTGCCAATGCAGACAAAACCGGAGCAACGGTAATCTGTGGTAAAGAGCAAAACAACGCATTCACTTCCGGTGGACAAGGCGTTGTGATCGTTTATCCTGGCTCCAGGACAGCAAACACCCAACAGTCTAACTTCAAAATACATTACCAATTCGGTCAGTTCCATCAGTTGAATAGGTTTTCATTATTATATAGATATGTTTCTACTAAGTGGGTGTTGAAGATATTTCTCCAAATTTGTAACCGTTGTTGTTTTATCAGCATCATTAACAAATAGGATTGATTTAGTGGCAGTAGTAGACTGTGATCATGTTCTCACTAATCCTTCTCTGTTAAGCTCATCTTCATTTGTATCTAATTCCATTGCAGATGTCGCCACGAAGTCCGTGTTGTCCACAATGATTTTCGTTGAATGTATGTTGTTTGCCATGTACGGTCAGGATTGGTGAGTTAACCTGTCACATCCATTTTTATTGCAATGGCAGAGATATTTTAAACTCATGATCACACACTCTGCTTCCGTGATATTTTTTCGACTTTTTGTGTTGTTTTGCCATTTGAACAGATCAAATGCCAACACTGCGCATGATGGTCCAAATGAAACGTGGATTCCATCGAAGAAAATACTACAGTAAACTGTACAGTAAACATGCTCATAATGGAACAGTTGTAACCTGTAATACTTACATACACATTGGATTTTTAAGAACTTTCTTTTGAATTAACTGCTCGATTGAACAACTGTATAGCTATCTTGCTGCATGCACTGCGCGTCACTCTTGGTGAGTGAGTATAAGGCAAATGTTCACCAAATTTGCTAGACCATTCCTAATCCTCTCCCCTCCTTCACATGAAAAAATCCGAACACAATCCGAATGTAGCAAAGTGATGTAAGCACAATGGATTAGCGTCTCATTGTCATCTATTTGAAAGCTGAAAGTCAAATCCTTCGTTTGTACACAGTGGTGGCTTGATTTAGCGTTTTCAGTGAGATGCGAACACTACTTGAGATTCGCAAAAATACATTTGAAATAAATGGTTCCAAAACATAATTTGGCCTCCATCATCTGCATAGTTTTTTCCGGAATTATTGAAATTCTCAAATCTTAATGTCTCTCTAGTTGCTCGGATTTTCTAACCGTTTGAGTGTGTGACTTACCGTGAATTAATGGAAAATGTGATTTATGTGTCCTGAACGTCAACCAGTAATTAGAAGTTCAATTTTACTTCTCTAATGGAAACAGCAAAATTTCCTCCACAAACCGTGATTTTAATTCTGCACTTCATACTTGCAAAACTTTGGAGATTTGATAGAGGTTGGTGGAGGTTTATTATTGTTTTTCGGCTGTCTATCCTTCGGACTTCACATGCACGCACAATCCTCAGATCGTCGATTCAACCATATATTAGGAAACACTATACTCCAGTTTCGCTCTTTTGGGAGCTCATCCGTAGTTCATATCCACCGTCCAGTCCGGGATTTGAACTCCTGATCTATCGCCTGGAAGCCGTGTGCGTTATCGTTGTGCCAACCAATTTATACCACGGATGAAACAAATTACCAACTCAGGTTTGTTCAGTTGTCGTCTTCATTCTGGTCCGACAGAAACGAAGGGAGACGTAGATGACATGCTATCAACTCCAATTGAAAGCCTCCTGACAAGTCCGGACTTCCCTACGCTTACGGACTGATCTGCCAACGAACCTACCGGACGTCAGGTCTATTAGCTGAACAAAACATTTTTGTTTGGTTAGGATGTGACTTTATATTTTTGCAGACAACCTATGGATGAGTGTTTTCACACGCAATAAGCATGCAACGGTATTTCTCTGCATGGGTGCTGACACACTGAACACCAGTCATTTAGATAAATTGCTGACATGAATGCAGCTGGATTTACTCAGAACACAGATATTCTGAGACACTTAGTTCAATTTAGTAACTGCAGACCGTAAACTGAATCCTACAGGAAATAATATTCCGAGAAACAGGAAGAATGAAATATATAGGATTGAACCATATGGAAACAAAGGTTATAGTTGTTGGAATGCGCATTAAATAGTCGCAGTTCTATTTCACTTACTAACATGATTTCTGTTTGAAAGCAGAGCCCTTTGATCGAGAGATACTGTAGGTTTATAATCCAAAATCCGGAAAGTGAAACGCGCGGTTTCTGCATTGTGTTATCTTAGGGTTTTTTTGCAATACCAAAACAGGTATAAGCTAAGTTTGTGAAACAGCCTGTCTTTCATCAGGCTTTTTTTCTTCTAAGGCTTAGTGCTTGGGTTCTCGTTAACAGAACCATTACCATTGTGGAGCCTCGGAATGAAACTACACCTCCTCACCGATTTGCTTTGGTTAATTCCAAATTGCTGGTATTGTGCAGCAGAATTACGTATCGATAAACTATCTGCTGTTTGAATTTTGAAAACCATTTGCTGATCTTTGAAAACGCGTGATGACAACACACGAGGTGACCAAAACAACAGTGTAAAGGGCCGCTGATAGATTTTAATTTACACAATCTTTACTATCAGGCTCTATATGAGTGGAGAAAGAC